AAAGAGGAGGTGTGGGTTTTTCCCCCTCCCCCCTCCTCCTAGAGATGTGAAGGCCCGGGAAAAAAACCGGAAAAATTCGGGGGGGAAAACTTTTTTTTCCTTTTCCTGAAGCCTTTGTTTTTTTCCAAAAAATTGAAAAAAGAAAAAAAATTGATTATGGAACGTTTTATTTTCACATGATGAATAAAATATTTTAAGACAAGGTGTTCAAATATTTTGCAAATCATTTCTAAAATATATATATATGGTATCAGATTGATCTAATTTCTATGCACTGAGGACAAGCAAGTCCTAGGTTACAAACTGAACTCTCCAATGCAAGAACAAGATGCATTTCTTCCTTCAGGAGGTGCTATTGTCACGAGAAAAGAAAAAGGTTTCAGGTTTTTTTTGCATGTGGGCGGGTATTCTGTTTGTAATAACTGTTTGGATACACTATATTTTTAATATGCTAGTTGTGATAATGTCATGCCAAGTAAAAATGTCCATAGTCATATTTTATGTTCCTAAAGTAACAGAATGACTTTCAATCTAGAAAAGACAAAAGAAGTGCTAATGTAGAAAAAAAAAACGGGTTTTTTTCCGAGCTTCAAAATTTCCGGAAATTTTACATCTCTACCTCCTCCAACCACAGCTCAGCAAGGATTGACAAAACCACTACAAGTGGGGGGCAGAGCTGAGCGGCTGGTGCTGCCACCACTGCACCAACCAGCTTCATGGTTTTCAAGTGTCAACTGTGAGGAGCACTAGCAAGAGTGGGCATGCGGAGTGGCAGTTTGCCAATGAAGGGACAGGGCTAGCGGGGGGAGAGGAGGGCCAGCGCCTGGATTGAGAAGGCAACTGGGCTGTATGCGTTGCTCTAAGGCGGAAGACGTTCTGGCCTCCGGAGTGGAGGAGTAAAGGAGAAAAGAGGCACCACTTCATGTCAAGCCTTAAATTGCTGAGCGGTCGGGTTAGAACGGATACAAGGAAGTCCTTCTTCACCCAAAGAGTGATTAACACTTGAAATTCACTGCCACAGGAAGTGGTGGCGGCTACAAGCATGGACAGCTTCAAAAGGGAATTAGATAAGCATGTGGAGCAGAGGTCCATCAGTGGCTATTAGCCACAAGGTATAGATAGGGGCTCTGGGGCAAGGGATGCTCTGTCTTCTTGGTGCTTGGGGGGGGGCAACAGTGGGAGGGCTTCTAATGTCCTGGCCCCACTGGCGGACCTCCTGAGGGCACCTGGTATTTCTGGCCACTGTGTGACAGAGTGTTGGACTAGATGGGCCTTTGGCCTGATGTTCTAATGTCTGGACAGCCATGGAGCTGGGAGGGAAAAGGGGCCACAGGTCAAAAGGTTTCCCCCGGAAATTTCAGAAACAGCCTCTCCAATCAGCCTCCCCTCCACCCTGTTGCTTCTATGGGAAACAAAAGGGATGAGAACTGGGGGTGGGGGGGATCTGGGAGAGCAAGATTCAGATCCCCCGAGCCAGGATCCCGTCATCTGGGTGGCTAAAGCTGAGAACCAGGAGTCTCTCATGGTACATAGGAGCCCTCCAGACAACACAACCACCTCCAGCACATCTGTGGAGATAAGCGTTTCAGCAAAAGCAGAGCAGGGATAGGAATGCAATAACAATTAACAAGACACAGAATGAACTCCCCAACCCCCATGGCAGCATAGTTGACACCAGGGCCAGTTGCTCAGCCTGGGCCACCTCACAAGGTTGTTGTTGTTGGGGATATGGTGGTGGAGGGAGGAGTCCGGTGTGCCTCAAGATCCTCAGAGGTAGGATGGGGGAAGAGAGGAAACAAAGAGTGACAGATGCATCATAGCCACCCTTGGCTGCTGAGGCTGGGCATATTGGGTTTGGGGTTTTTTTTGCTGAAAAACTATTTACTTGCAAGGAAGATGACGTCTCCTAAAAGTGCTATACATAAACGCACACACACACACACAAAGTAAATAATTTGTATGGACATGTAAGATAACCCCTTTTTATGGTATCCCTTAGAAAAAACCTAGTCTTACATATGATTAGATATATTTATGGGGGATTCCGTGGGTTCCCTACTAAATCAATTGCTTTCACTGCTAGGAATCAATTGCCTTTGTTTGTATTTTGACTAAAAATATTGTTAATTGGGTTTGCCTGTGTCCTTTATAAAGTTTATATCTCTGGTACCTGGCATTACATTTTACGGCACACATGGCCCGGCCCAACAAAGTGACCTTTATGTCAGATCTGGCTCCCATAACAAATGAGTTCAATGCCTAAGCGAGTTTAGAATCTGTCAAGAGACTAAACCCCTACCAGTCATTCAGGGCTGACTGGTCACAGCTGAGACACCAGACTAAGATGCATCCACCCTTCTCAGGAATCAGTGGCCACATTAGCAGAAGAGGACAGTTCCCAATGGTGATGACGGCAGATGATACCACATTACTTGCAGAAGACAGTGAAGACTTGAAATGACTACTGATGAAGGTTAAAGCAGAAAGTGGCAAAGCAAGATTACAGCTGAACATCAAGACGACAAAAGGAATTACACAACTTTAAAGCTAAATTCAGGTGGGTAGTCGTGTTGGTCTGAAGCAGAAGAATGAAGTTTGAGTCCAGTGGCACCTTTAAGACCAACGAAGTTTAATTCAAGGTATAAGCTTTCATGTACAAGCTGCGGTGGCTCAAGTGGTTAAGACGCTGAACTGCAGGCTGTGGAAGGTCGGTAGTTCAGCAGTTCGAGACCCGAGTTGCCGCATGACGGAGTGAGCTCCCATCTCTAGTTCCAGCTCCTGCCAACCTAGCAGTTCGAAAGCAAGAAATTGCAAGTAGATAAATAGGTACCACTTCAGTGGGAAGGTAACAGCGTTCCATGCACCTCGGCAACTAGTCATGCTGGCCACATGGCCACGGAAACATTTTCGGACAGCGTTGGCTCTTCGGCTTTGAAACGGAGATGAGCACCGCAACCCTAGAGTCGGACTCAACTGGCTTTCGAGCAAGGGAACCTTTACCTTTTACAAGCAACCATCTTCAGATACCAAACCTTAAAGCTGGCAATGAAGAAAGGAAATTGTTCAAGATTTTCTATTCCCTGGCTCCATCATCAACCAAAAGAGAGATTGCAACCAAGCAATCAGGAGACCGAGAATGGAAAGAGCAGCCATGAAGGAGCTAGAAAATTTCCTTTAAGCATTAAGATGTGTAACTGGTGACCAAGAACAAGATAAATTCATACCATTCTCCATTACTATATACAAGTGTGAAAGTTGGACAATGCTGACAGGAAGAAAGTTGATTCATTTGAAATGTGGTATTGGACTGCCAAAAGGATAAATAAGAAGGTTTTATATCAAATCAAGCCTGAACTCTTCCTAGAAGCAAAAATGACCTATCATACTTTGGCCACATTATGAGTCACTGGCAAAGACAATAGTGCTAGGAAAAGTTGAAGGCAGCAGAAAAACAAGACCCACCATGAGATGGATCCGCTCTATCAAGGAAGTCACAACCCTCACTTTGCAAGATCTGAACAAGGCTTTTAACAATAAGACATTTTGGAGGCCATTACTTCATAGGGTTGCCAAAAGTTGGGAGCGACTTGATGGCGCTTAACATGCACACATGGTTTTTTGTGGGTGCAGTTCAAAATAGTGTTTTGAAAGCTCAATACAACATGGGTCTGTTAGGTGAAGAAATATCTTCTCTTATAGGACTCTCACATGAATTGAGACCTTCCAAGGCCTCCTGAAAGTGTCCTCCACTATGAACGATGACCATAAGCACAAGGACTGAGTATTGGCCATCCAGTTACAAGTCTCTCTATCCAAGAAAGTAAAACAATCAACCTTCCTACTTGCCTTTAGATGGCAGCTGTAAGAATCCTTTCTGAGAACTGCTCATCCCAAGAGAATGCAAAAAAAAATCCAAGCAATTTGGTTCCCAGTAGTCCAGTACCTTGCTGAAGGTGAAATCATTCCAAGAAATGAACACTTTACAAAACTATTATATTTTTGAAATTAGGGAGGCCCCTGTGAAAAAACCACTGACTAAAATATAATTCAGCCATGCAATATGTCCGTTACACAGTTGTTATGTAACTATCGTTTGCACTATCCTCTCTTAATTGTTGTTAACCTGTTATATACTGTTGTTTGTATGTTAAAAATAATAAAAAAAATTAAATTAAAAAAAAAGAACTGCTCATCAAATAACAATGAGAACACTGGCTGAGGATGTGTTAAGAACTCTGCAGCATTTTAAACCAATTTTTGGTGCTTTGTATTTTTAGTAGTCTCCTGAAAATTAAGTATTTTTTAAGTATTTATACGTTTTAGAGGCTTTTTTCCTTGAAAACTCTTTTTGTGAGTCTGTCAAAAGCAATATATACATTAAATAAACCCCTCATACATGCATCTTTAACCCCAGGAATCTCCTGCCTGCGATCCTATCACTAGCAGCTACCACTGTAATGGAATGTTCATGCATTAGCTGAACAGGAACATAGAGAAGCTGAACAGGAACATTGGTAAAAAAACAAAAATGTACAGAGAAGCGACGTCTTGGGTGGTCTGAAAAGCCTAGTTATGAGAAGATGGGCAAAGGACAAAACAACTAGCCCTAAATTTGCTGGCAATGTATCAAGAGTCAGGAGTACAAAAAGCTGTGCAAGACTTCTAATGAACAGAGGATGAGCATTTACCATACTACATTACGTTTTTAGCTCTCTTAAACAGCTATTCTCCAAATATCTAGACTTTTCCCTGCATTATACAGTTCTTTCTGCAAATCTTGAATACTGATGCACATTACTACCGTAAGTATATGATAAATTAAATCTCAAAAGGTTCTATGAGGGCTTCGATGCCTCCATCTGCCCCCTGGTGTGTTGAGCAGAACAGCCACTACAAAGTACTGCAACAACAGAGAAGCTGACAAAGGACTTCATGTTTCACAACTTTAATAGAATATTCTAACTATTCTGTACAAATTGAAAACACTGTATTAAGTTACAAATGTATAAGGTAAGGCTAGAGCACTCTCTACATGCCTGGTAACAGCATTCACACAGATGCTAGTACTAAACTTTTTCCCGGAAGCTGGCATTGTATACTTAAAGAAATGTGAACCTGCAATTTTGAACAGAATTCTGAAGGATTTCTGAGCTGCAAAAACCATAGAAGTGTGCAACAGAACAATCTGAGTATTGCAAGTAATGACTATGAACTCACCAAGATTTGAATTTGTTTTTCCAATTCAATGACTTCCTCATTGTGTGGGTATACTTACTCGTGATACATTCTTGCTCTGCAACCCACCATCAATCACTGAACCATGAGGCCTGTCCTAAGAGCACTCCTTTCCCATTTTGATATTCAAAGCAACCGTTTGAAGCAGATTCTGAGTTTTCCTTGTACAATTATCCATATTTTATAAACAGGAAAAATATTTTTCAAGTATATGTAAAACTATTAAAACCTACTTCAAAGTACTTACAAAAGAGAATAAATAAAGTGAACAACAAAAGTATTTCAAATGCCACCACCGCCACCTCCTTTGAAGAAGATACAGGAAATGTTACTTCAAATTTAACTGCCTGATGGCAATATTTTAAGCTGCCTGCAAGTACTTGTCTGATTGACAGGTTGCAGGAAGTGTTATTTTTAAAGGGATTTGGGGCTAGCAGAAATCACGTTGCCTCATTTCCGTGACAGTACTTCATTCATTTAATATATTCTCATGTGCACCATTCCACAATATTTAGAAAAAAAGTACTCTGAAGCAAAGACAAGTTTTCTGAATGGCAAACTGGATTTAAAAAAAAAAAATCTGGAAATCCTATTGAGACAATTAAGCTACAGTGTACCAAAGGCTGTAGAGTGCGCTTTAATTAAACCTCATATTTCTCAAATGCATTAAGTTGCCACTGTACAAGTTAAGCAAAAATAAGAAAAAAAGTTAGTGAAAATCATGCATTTGAAAACAATTTAATTTTAAGCATTGTTAATAAGATTGTGCTGCAGCAATGGAATATCCTGAACTGCAGGCCAGGTATCCAAATATTTGTTACAGGTTCTTCAAATATCACTTTGGAGTGGTATTTCCTTATTGTTGTTTGCACTCAGCAGGCTGGCTGGCATCTTTCTGTTTGGAAAGGAAAAGAAAAAGAGGAAGTTTACATAACAGGTACCAAACTTGTGTGACAAAATGCTTATTTCCTCTTTCTCAAGACACAGCAAGACAACATGGAAGTGTAAGGCAGTTACTACAAAAGGTAATATTCTCAATTATGTTAACCAGCTCACATTGATTTAGCATGAATTAACACTGTATTAACAATCAATCATGTTTCCACACTTGAATCATGAGTAAAAGCCTCTTAACTCAAGAGCAAGGGAAGGTAAAACCAGCTTACACACAAAACAGAATGTGGCACACTTCTCAAAACAGACAGGCTTGAAACTGTTAAGTTTTTCATTCCCTACCTTTTATTCAAAAGCGCTCAACACATATAAACCCTGCTGATACCATGTCTAGTTCTGGTCAGCCCAAGACCTGCTTAACTCCAGAAACAACATTTTCAGGCACCATCAGACTATTCTTTAGGCTGAAGACAAGTTCATTTGATTTGTTCCCAAAATATTTATGGCAGTGCAAGAGTAAAATTCCACCCCCACCTTCAAGAAGGAAAGTGTTTTTAGGACAATAGCTTCATGTAGGGTTCTCATACTTTAGTCCAGAGATTTGTTCCCAAAATATTTATGGCAGTGCATGAGTACAATTCCACCCCCACCTTTAAGAAGGAAAGTGTGTTTTAGAACAATAGCTTCATGCAGGGTTCTCATACTTTAGTCCAGAAAAAGCCTCCCTACCTTTTCCCCAATCAACAGAGTTGTAAAAAAATTCATAGAATCATAGCTGGAAGGGGCCATACAGGCCATCAAATCCAACCCCCTGATCAATGCAGGATTAGCCTAAACCATCCCTGACAAGTCTTTATCCAGCTGCTCCTTGAATACTGCTGGGGGGGTGGGGTCCACCATCTCCCTAGGCAGCCGATTCCACTGCTGAACTACTCTTACTATAAAAACATCTTATATTCTAATAGCAAAGTCAGGATATCTTTGGATACTTCAATCCGGCGACTGGAGCTGTGAATGGGAAAGATAGATCTTTCTATAAACCTGGAAAGGGCCCTAGGATTTAGATGTGACATCTAAAAACAAACAAACAAAAAACCACTGGGAAACTTAAAAACCCAAAAATGATATAGAGTGCCTGTAGCTTAAAAAAACAAGATTCCCTCAGAGGCTGGTGCTAGACCACCACAGTATTCCAAGTTTGGCTCTGTCAGTAAAAGACAAGGTGAAGGGGCAGGGTCCTTTCCAGGCCTATTTTGGCCTTTGAGGGAGGAACCCTTGAGGCCAGGCCTGAAGAGGTTGGGAAATTTCTAGAGATTTTGTGGTGGATGCTGAGGAGGGCAGAAGCCTCAGCTGGATATAATGCCACAGAGTTCACCCCCCAAAGCAGCCTCTTTGCCCAGGGAACTCCTAAGCTGCCCTCCCCTGAAAAACAGGGCTCAGAGTGGCATAAAACAGTAATAAAAATTTACAAAGATTTCAAAGTTAAAATAAAACATAAAGGCCCCGTTCACACAGAGCATTTGCTACGCTAAAGATACGGATGATAGGCGGATTTTCCAGGCGTGATCACACCACAACATCTGGGAGGTGTAGTGCACCCGTGGCTAACCCGTGGCTTTGTGCCAAAGATACGAAGTAAAAAACTAGTACTTACGATGTACTAGTTTCCGGAAAATGCGGGGCAAGGGTGGGCGTCTGATCGCGTCCTGTCCTAGTCCCATCGCAAACCAGTTCGTTTTTTTAAAAGTCTTCACAGGATGCGCACGAATGATCATGTGCATGCTCACCTTTTGGTGAGAAAAAAAAATCCTGTTTGCCACGGAAGCGGCACCTGGCGATTGCTGGTGTGATCGCACTGCGCCGCTTCTTTGCCGTGCTGCAGGATAGCCATGTGATCGGCACCTCACGCCCTAACCACAGGACCTTGAGGGGACGTGTGATCGGGCGGCCGCGTGTTATTTTGCTCTGGGGCGGGCGGCCACGTTCCCCCCCCGCATTTTCCGGCCCGTGTGTAAGCTGCCTTGGTCCCCACCAGCCAACCTACTTCTATCTGCCCTCCTATATTAAGCTTTGTCCCCTTCCTTTCCCCTGGCAGCCTCTCACCAGATAAACTCTGGCCAAAGTGCATGGTGGGGAACT